CGGTTATGGACTCGCAATAAAAATAATTTAATAATAAAATATGCCAAATATAATAAAAAATGTTATTTGGCGGTCAAAAATGTTTATGGGATATATGTACATCAAATTATCAGATATTTTATAGAGATCTTAATATTGTGTAATTTTTTGGGTTCCGTACCAAGATTTTTAATTTTGAAGTTTTTTTATATAGTTCAGACAAATGTCCTCGACATTTTCGACAGTGTGGAATAATGTTTTGTACGATTAAAAAATCATTCGGTTCGTACTCGATCGCGAGGCGTTTTTGCAAAAGGCAATTTTGCTGTTTTGGAGGTATGGAACGTGAAGGGTGTAAAAACGGTTATGCAGTTTCTGAGAGAAGTTTAATCCTATTAGATTAATTCGAAAAATATTTTGCTTGAATAGATTGTGTGCAAAAAATGCATTTACAGATAATTTAGTAATTTTGAAAATTTAAAAAATCGAAATTAAAAAAAAATCAAATTTTCGAAATTTTTCATCATTTTCAAAAAAAACTAAATTTCGAAAAATTAAAAAAAAGATTTTTTACAAACATTTTATAATATTTCGAAAATTAAAAAAAATCGAATATTTTCAAAAATTTCAAAATACTCAAAATATTAAAGTAGACCAATTTTCTCATCTACTCCCAGAATTTGCTTATGTCTAGTTCAGTATCCCTATACCAATATCGATCTTGAAAAGACAGATTCTGTATTATGAAAAATTCTCTCACATCTAGTTCCGATATTCAAATTTGCCACCTTGAGAAATTGAAATGTGTTATCGGGCAGTTGATTAATAAGTAAATGGTGAAAAATAGCGCAAACTACCATGCTCGCACATGAACATACGAGAATGTCAGATTTTATACCACCGCACTGTTATCAATTTCGTTCTAATAGCTCAGAGCTAGATTGTGATCAAGAATATATCAGGGACGAATATTCAACATAAATATCGAATGATATACGCAAATATATAATATGCAATACCATTGTCTACCTACTAGTTGATGTATCTACATTCGTTTTTTTCTACTTTTCTACCTGATTACATTTCCACATCTATACCTGCCTACCTGAACACCTGTCTACTACGTATATGAATCAATAATGACTTGTAAATATCATATTTGAATTAACAAATGTCAATTTTGCAATTTTTTTCAATCTCCAAAACCGCTGGACAAATTCCGTTGACACAAATGAAATATTTTTTGAATATTTCAAATCGGATGCTTTGTTCCTTCAAAAACTAATTTGGCATTTTTGCACTTCTTTCTTCGATACTGAAAGAAAGATTTTGTTATGTTTCTTGTTTAATTGAATAGCTTTATATTAATGTTCAAATCATATGTATTGTATATTATCTGTATTATACCAAAACAGTCTTAAACTGCTAACAAATAAAGTTGGCTATCATCTTATACTATTTGGTACTCATTAAAGATCCAATATCTTGGTGAGATACATCTCCAACAAGTACAAACATTCGTACAACTTCAGCAATATATTACAACACTGTCATCATGATATACACGTACAGCTTTTATAGCAAACAACACATCCAGTCACTTCAGCAGTTTCTAAAATAATCTCGTCATGGATGCAAAGATCAGCTGGACGTGCTCATTTTGCTATTCGTGACAACTACACGTTTCGATTTACTTTATCCAATAGAAGTCTTTGGAACAGACATAGGTTTTACTAAGAAATATATGTTAAATGGGTTAGTGCGATATAAAAGATTTTAGTATCGCAGACTGTGGAAGGCGAATGGAAAAAATCAGGGGGCCCCTGAGCTGCTTGACGGACTCGTTTCAACGCCGAAGGTCCGGCAGCCGCGCCTTGTGCGCGTCAATCTGAATCTGTCGACTGCAGCACGTTAGGTCAAAGATCAAGAGTAAAGCCAACCTTGAATGAAAGAGACAGTAGTGATGAAAGAATGAAAATACATTTAGATTAGGACGATTTAAATTTGAAGTAAAACTTCTTTAGGCGCAACTAGGGTGTAAATCCGTACAAATGTAACGGAAGTGCGTTACGGCAGATAAGATAAAATATGTCGAGTGTCATTCGCTCTCGATGATATCATTTCTATACGGGTCGATAGTGATTAGTCGTCGCGTGTGTGAATAGAGATATATCGTTGTATGCGTACCGGAATCAACGTTGCATCCGTACCGGCGTCAACGTTGTATGCGTACCGGCGTCAACGTTATATGCGTACTGATATCAACAAGGAAATCGGCATAGATAAATAAACATTTTAAAGTTACATCGTAGTACAAATCTTGATTTAATGAAAAAATGCTTGAATCAGAATATTTTACCCTGTCCCCCGTAAATAATTATAATGAAAATAACAAAACTAATGCAGCATTTGCGCCGTGTGTGAAACGTAAGTTTATTGAAATAATTCTCATATTATTCTTAGTTTCTATAAATCTTTGAAGTTATTGAAATGGAAAATATTTTTTAGGCAAAACAGATACTACAGCTGTTCAAAGAATGAAATTATATCGCCAGCGAAAAAGTAAAAGAGATACCATCAGTCAATGAATGCATGTTAATTTTAATTACATGAAGTTCTTCAAACACAATTATTACATGATGAGTGAAGTTGCGAAAACAATATTTGTTTAGGCGTTGTTTAACATAATCCACTGTGTGAACGAATATTATAGAAGTTATTATTCAGCAATTAGGTATTTGAATTTTTTTTTTTTGTTTAATGGAAAGATCATATATAAGTTTTATAACAAAGTTTTTTTTTTCGCAATAATTAAAAAGGTATACCAAATTAAAATTTGAGGTACCGAAGAGCGCCGACAAATTCCGAACGAGCCAAGCGCGTGTGACGTCATACTGTTACGGGTGATTCATAGTAGGATACAGCTTTGAACATGTGCTATGCTTTGAGCTTTGGTTAATATCGTGGTGTCATTGTTAAATTCTGTTCGTTCGTTCTGTTTTGTTAAATATTCAAAAATATATAAAAAATGTCAAATGTAAAATGTTATCGCTGTTGTTTTGTACCATTGTGTACAAATACAACAAAAACAACTCCTGAAAAAATGTTTTTGCATGTTCCTGATGACGAGAAACGTCGAAGAATGTGGTTTCAAGCAGTGCACCGAGATTATCCTAAAACAAAATCGAATTTTTGTTGTTGTGAAGATCACTTTGATGTAAGTATTTCAATATTCTACTGATTATTTAAAGTTATCTGATAACTTGAAATAACTTTGATATATTTATAATTTTCTGACGTTTTAAGTTATATATTGAACTAAATAAGATTGAAAGTAAATTTTAATGTTTTGTTTCCTTATTATAAAAACATTTAAATAATTCTAATGATACGTTCCTTTTGCAGCTAATGGATGATATGGAAAATTATATGTATTTCACGACAATAGGAGGTAAAGCCAAGCTTAAAATTGATGTGGTACCACACAAGTTTGAATGTCAGCCTAATCGTAAACATCGAGGGACTTCTAGACCAGCTTCAGAAAAAAGACGAAGACAACAATTAATTAAAGAAATTTTGAGTAAATCTTCGGGTAATATGGAAGTTGTTAATCCTCAGAAACCAAATCTTGATGCTATATCAGGCAACAGTGTTGATGTTGAAAGTGATAGTGATCATTCAAATATAATAATTAAAGTCAGTGTTGGTACACAAACACCAATCGATTTTAATAGTCGTGCTGTTGCTATTCAAGTAAATCCCAAATATTGTAGCAAGTCAGTCCAATGTGAACTTTTATCAGCCGGAGTAGTTCAGTCCTGCTCACCAATTAAAACTGGTAGCATGAGTACTGAAACATCTCCAATAATACCAATAATCGAAGATAATCAGAAAATATTGTCAGATAATAGTTTTACGGATTCAAACAGTTCTCGAGAGATTTATGAGCCTTCAGAGAATAGTGACTCGAGTTATATAGACTGTAGCTCACAGTCTCCTATAAAAAAAAGGTGAAATTGTAGAAGTCACAAATCATTTAATTGATGACAATTTGAAGGCCTATACTGGAGTCCCTCAACAATTTAATGTAATGTTAGAACGTCTCAGTGTTCTTTCTAATATCAATATGACAAATATAAAATTATCTTTAATGAAAATTCGACGCCAAGACAGTTTTGAAAGATTAAGTGAACAGTTCGGAATGAGTGTGAGCAACGCTAGCATTATTTTTAATAAAACAATTCCGGTATTAGCACATTTTTTTAAAAAGTTTGTTTACATGCCTGAGCTTGATGATATAAAAAGAATATTACCGATAGCATTTAGATCTTCTTATAGTCATGTGGTAGCTATTATTGATGCATTTGAGATTCAAATCGAGAAACCTAGTGATCCAGAGCATCAATCATTAACTTGGTCAGAGTATAAAAAGTGTAATACTTTAAAATATTTAATATCTTGCACTCCGGATGGCTTTATCAATTTTATCTCAAAAGGATTTGGAGGTCGAATTTCAGATGAATTGTTATTTCAGGAAAGCGAAATAGTAGAAGAGTTACCCGAAGGTTGTGCTGTAATGGCTGATCGAGGATTCAAGAATATTGTTCAGCTTCTTGACAATAAAAAGATTGAATTAATTCGACCACCTTCAGTGAGTGCTGGGGTTAAATTATCACAATCCGATGTTCTACAAGGCAAACGAATCGCTGCTCTACGTATTCATATAGAACGCGTGATTGGACGAATGAGAGAATTTGATTTTCTCAAACTTCATGCGGTTGTTAATCATAATATGCTACCTTTAACAGACTATATTGTTATCATCGCAGCAGCACTAGTGAATTTACAAACACCTATAATTTCAACTTAAATTTAAGAATATTTTCATGACAAAAGAAATGGCTAAATGTATGTTTCATATATTTATTATTTTATTTATTTATTATGCATTTATCGTTTATTGCACTTGTATCAGATCATCAAAATATATTGAATAATAACTAATTAAGACTTTTACTTTATTAACTTTGTACAGAGTTGAACAGCTTTGGGTATATATTTTTGGACCAGAATACTATATATTTTTTAATGAGATCTTGAGTAGTTGCATCATCATATTTCAATACGCTAACATAAATTTTTTGATTGTCTTCAAAGTTTTCATCGGCAACACAAAAGATACCCTTTCTTTTACCTGTCATTAACATTTGCAGTTGCATTTGAGCATTACACTTTAAGCTTATTTTGCCCTTTGGCAAAAAAGTGTACATTGATTTTTGACTTGAGGGACATTTTATTTCAATTATAGCATCACTAGTTACTCCATCAGGAGATGCTGCAAACACTGGATGGCTAGGTGAAAGATAAATTCCTGAAGGCGCAATTTCTACTTTTAATTCTTTCTCCAGAACTTCAATAACTTTCTTTTTCAGCTTCTTTCCTCGTGCCATAGCCTTTGTTTGATAAACTTTACCAGCACCAATGATTTGTTGTACTAGTGACCCATTATCAGTTTTACAATGAGCAGCTTCATAAAATTTTGAAGCTGTTATGCGTCCATATCGAAGTTCATGCCAAATTGCACACTCACTTTGTTGTTTTGTTAATTCTTCAGTCTCTTGGCACACAGCTTCTTTCATTGCAATCTTTGCGAACTCTAAAAAATTTTGAACTTGCGAATCACTTTTGTTAAAATCAAAAATAATGCGGTGCAAAGATAAACTATAAGCTTTTTTCAAGTTTATATCGAAGTTTAACTGTCCGATTTGACAGTTTATTTGATGGTTTTTGGCTAGTTCAATTACTTCTTTCAAAAATGTTTTGTTATCTGGAAAATTTTCAACTGAAGTAACTGTGTTTTTTTTTGTCAATTTTTCAGCTTGAATATATTTTACTGTAGTTCCTACGCCTGATAATTTAGACTTCTTCCAGTAGCAAGCAACTTCTGTAGGTGTCGGATCTTCGCTCCTGCGATGGATCCACATAAGTAATGCCAATGCATGTTTGCAACCACCTGTGCATTCAATATAAAAATGATTTTCATTTATAAAATTAATTCAATAACTAGAATTTAATTGGATTACTAATTACCTGCTGAAGCTGCACAGTCATGGCATTTAATATCCTGAACTTTTCTTAACCTTTCATTAATTGTTAATGTAACTAAATAGGCTTTGCTTCGAACTCGATGTTCTGGAGATACACGTGCTTTTAAAATACAAATTCCATTTTTACGACTAAGTTGAGCATAACCCACAGCTTTGTCGCCGTAACTTTCACGCGATGCTCTAAAATTAATTTATTAGGTAATTATATTCAATATAAAATTAATACTTAAATATTGTGATTCATAATATTTTTTAACAGACTTACATCAATGCCTTGGCGCCTCGAACTTCCGCAGAATTAAACCGAACATCATTTTTTAAAAAATCGGCTACCATAAATATATCAATATTAGGTACATTATCAGAATTTGCTTTTATAAATCCTGTATCATACATAGTTAAACTAAATTAACTTCAACAAATCGTTTTTAAAGGAAAATTTACCACGTGTTTATCAAGTTCCGTAAAATATAGCCGCAAGCACTGCACTAATAGAGTAACGGCACTGCGCTGTTATGAGGAATTACAATATGACGTCACAGGCACGGTAGCCAATCGTGGCGCGTTAACGTTAACGTTAATTTTTGAATTTAATGAATTTTTAAACGCCCATAACTAATTGAAAAAACATTTTTTTTGTTTTTTCTTTCACATATCAATAAATTTAATAATGTAGTTTTAAAGCGCATAAAAATAAATATATAATTTTTTTTTTCAAATTCCCAATTATTTCATTTCTCTAATGAAGGGCCATTTCTAAATGCTAAGTACAATGACAAACCGATCACGTCATATTTGAAGTATGACTTTATTTACATTACTGTTTTTAAATATTATACATATTTTTAATGCTATTATAATTATATAATTTATAATTTATCATTATATAAATGTGTATAAATATGTGCATCACGAGTGTTACTATATTACTAATAAACATTATTTAAAATTGTTATATGATGTATTTATTTTTACTTAAATGCCATATTGTACAGTAGCAAATAAGTTTTACTTCAATTGCGTGTGAACCTTATGCGCACTCTTTTTTTTTAATAAATAGTAATTTTTGCAACTATCCCGAAGCGAACTAAATGTAATGTAAATTTCATTCTCAAGACATCTATCTTAAACAAGTAAAGATAATATTAGAATATTATATTAATTTATTAATGAACTATTATATTATATTAATATATTACTAAAATATTGTATCAATATTCATTTATATAAAACATATTTTTAAAAGTAAATAAATACCTTTTTTTAAATATTTTTTTTGTTGATATACTGATTATGAACATTTCTGAGGATGGTTCTAATAAACTCTTGTTCTTCCATATCTTATAAATTAAATTTTTTTCTTATTCTATTTACTTATAAGTTACATTTTTTCATTTAATTTATTTATTTTTTCAAATCTATTTTTTTCTAGTTTTAAAATAACGATAATATATCACATTTTTAAAAAACTTCTCAATTTTTAAGATTATTTTGTATTCCTTGTTCAAAGCACTATACAGGGTATACGCATATTATACAATATTTCTTTTTATAAAAAATATTATATGGGGCAAATACTTGCAGAAAAAGATTAGCTACTAACTAAAATATTTGTATGCTACATAAATCTGTCAGTTTGATTAAAGAAAATTTTAATAAATTAAAGTAATAAACATTTGATTTATGAATTTAGCAATATACACATATAATGTTGTAATCATAAGAATACAACATTGATTTTTGTTACACACAACAATCATGAAAATCATACTTGATATCTTTTTTATCCAAAAAGATCAAAATTTTCTTGTAGTTAAAAAAAATGTATATTATGAAAATTGAATTACTAAATAACTTTATAGAAACTACAATAAAATAAATTATTGCATTTCCCCTTACAGTTATCACATATTAATAATTTCAATAAATAAGTCATTACAATAAATAACAATCTCCATCCAAGCATCGCTCTAATATAATTCTAGAAAATAAATAATATTTTTGAAAATTATGATTCAATATGGAACGCATATAGATATCATCACCGGCATCTATAAATAAAATTTATATGGAATATGCATATGAAGTAGTGTACAAATAATGAATTTATAAGCCAATAACATAAAATCGTCCAATTATTAATATCAACAAAACGCCGAGAGACAAATACGGTAATTACAGAGAATCTTATTAGCATATAGAGTGCCATCATAAAATAGATACAATTTCTAATATAAACAAAACCGAATTAATGGCATGTCTTTTAATAAACTTTGTCCAAGTCGGCTTTGCGCAATCAAGGTCGTTTCCGCGCAGCGGGGTTGCCGACCCAAAGAAGAACTATTTTTGTTTCAAATATTTCTAATAGTAAGATATTTAGAAATATTCATAAGTTTCGATGCACTATGATAAAGTCATATCGTAAATATATCGATAGCTGTTCTATAGTGGTCATAAAGAATCTTAAAATGATCATTAGATAATTAAACTGTACAGCTTGGATTGGAGAATATTAAATGATCAGATGATATGGCGTTCTGCTTTTGAGACTTCTCGATTTAACATTGGAATATCATATCAAATAAAAATTAAATGTTTAAAAATTTAAATTTAGGGGCCAATTCACGGATAAATAAGATTATTATGGTAATGCTTTGTTACAGGTCTACCTTCGTAGAAAGTGGTGATGACCAACTGTCAAAAAGCTAGGTATTTGCTGTGTGCGGTCAAGAATTTTACAAAACGCACAAACATCAAATACCAATTTTATCATAAGTGCAACTTTCTGGTAGATATAATTTTGTAATATAATAGATAAAATACAGCTTGGGGTACACCATATTTAATAAATGTAATTCAAAATAAGTTATAAAAAAATTGTTATTAGTAAAAGAAATTAAAAAAAATCTGGTGTCTCGTGAAGCTAGGACGTGTGAAAAACCTTATCGTACTGCAAACAGTTTATGACCACCAATTCATACGATGATAGATCCGTAATATAACATTACCATAACTTTTCTATTTTATCCGCGAATTGGTTCCTTGGCCTAAATTCATTTACATTTCAACCTTCGGATTTGTGATATTTATTTGATTTAGATATGCAAAGGGAATGGAAGTTGGTCAAGATTTGACCAACAAGCTCTGTAACCAATTTTGATACTTCAGAGTAGAAAGTAATAAATATTAGTACATATAATTATCTATATATTCGTCCATTATTCGTATTTTATAGACAAATATTAGAGCTTATGAATTCGACCACTTGATCAATCGGATTTATAATAAAGGACAATGTTTAATATTTAGAAGACTCGTATAAACTGAATTGCAAAGTTAATTTTTATTTAAGTAAATAAGTAATGTTTAAAACTTTAGCTAGAATTAGAATTAAAATAAGAAATATTTTTGATATTCAAAAGTTTTTTTTACGATAATTAAAAAAAAATTATTTCCTCAAAAGAAATCGTTTCGCCACACAAACAGAAAGTTTTTTAAACCACTTAAATCGGATGCATAGTTTGCTCTCAAAAGCTGCAATTTTTTGCACATTTAGTTTCGTATTTCTGAAACGGCTGGACCTTTGCCAAAACTAATCAGCATATCTCCATATAAATAAAAATCGATTGCTTTTTAAACCAGCTGTAAGTGGAATTCTGTCTAAAGGCAATTAAGGCATCGTGCCTTAAGGCAAATTGCTGGAACTTTCCGTACCAAATATTATTATTTTTTCAAAAACGATTAACATTTTTGAAAAAATTTTACTTCGAAAAAATGAGATTTTTGACAAACTAGGAATTTGACAAAAAATTACTTTTTAAAAAAAAATTTTTTTTTTTGAAAAATAAATGTTTTCTTTATTTTGACATATTTTGGAAATTCTGAACTTTTTTTCAAAGCAATCGTACTGCTTTAACTGCATAGAGACAAAATTTTGAAGCGCGTAAGCGCCGCGTCGCCGTCTAACCTGACTTCGCCAAAAAGTAATCAGCACGTCTCCTTATCAATACGAATTGAATGTTTTTTGAAATATTCAAATCGGTTGATCCGTGTTCCCGAAATCGTCGACGAAAATTTGTATCCGCACAAACATACATACACGGGCACACACACACATACATCAATTATTTCTAAGGTATGCTAAAATGTTCAGAAGGTTTTGAAACGTAAAGATCTATAACAATTTTCTTTTTCGATTTTTTGCAATTACTATAATTTGCCCTACGGGAAGTTAATAATTCAAATCGGTTCATCCATACGCCCAAAATCGACGAAAAATTGTATCCACACATACTCACACATCCATTTTTTTTTGAGGTTTGCCAAAATGTTCAGAAACGATTATTTACGATTACGATTACGATTTTTGGATAATAACTTACCCTACTAAAAGGTAAAAATATGTAGTAAAATTTTAATCTTTTCAATCAAAATTTTATGCGTTCTATTTAGAATAAATATAAACTTAAATGTTAATGGACAGTTAAACAAATTTTGTTGTATCAGTATCACAGTATCAATGTTACAATTAA